GCGCAACCACCTATATAGGGGCAAAGAAAAATACTCTTGAAGCATACGTGAAAAGGTTCAAGCTAATAAAGTCGTCCTAACTGAGAAAGGGCACACGACCTTGGCAAAAATTTGCAGGAATCTCGATTTCTGCGATAATGCAAGATACGATACGCCTCCATTGAAGCGGCAGTTGTTTTTATGCTTTTCTTGCTACTGTATTTACCGGTTCCCACTCCATAGATATTGGCTTACCAGAAGAGAAGACTATTATTTGAGATAATGTGGTACTACAATAATATTAGTTACGGGAAAGTTGTTCACATTTTTCAATTGGCTCTTATTTTATAGCAGATGGCGGTGTAAGTTCACAGAATAGTAGTTGTTTTTTACGCCTATACCTGCCAATTTTTTGCCCTAGTGCCGATCCATCACTTGTAACAATGTACAATCCGCAACGATACGAAGGGACATCACTCATTTGACTTAGTCTCGCCGGTCCGTTGAGGTTTCTCTCCACATATATGGTATGTAATGGAAGTAACGACGGTGGAAAGAGCAACTGTCTGTGCACATGCGCCGTGCAATGGAACCATCTCATCTCTACTGCATGCTACATTCGGCTCAACTTTTTGAAGGTGTAGGCTGCTTGCCATATTGAAAACAGACTGTGCAGACAAATTCCGCTCTCTGATTAACGATTCCCTTGATGTCGCAACCGTTTTGTGCAGGGATTACCGTGAAAGCAGCTTCTTCATCCAGTAGTTTCATGAGCCCCAGGCTCCCTTGAACTGAGTTCACATGGACATTCAAACCTCATTTCGTCTTCAAAACTGTAGGCTCCCACCTTGAACTTCAGCGCCGTGGTAAATTTCCCCATAACTGAGGGTGTCCCTTATGCAGCTCCTTTATATTGGCATCGAAAGCCCTCACGTTTCGCGCAGGGTGGTAGAAGAAAGAGTTTGAGGGAGCGCTTAAAAGGGTTGGTGCCGATGGTACCGGACTACATTCTTGTCCGTATTGCAAAAGAAGAAGAAGTAAGCTTTAAGCGAGTGGTACTAGTAGGAGCAGTATTTCCTTCGTGATTGCTGCTCACATTATCGCTCACCCTCTTCAGATAATGGGCAGGTACTATGAGGTATGACAGTACTCTCTCACCACCCTAATACATAAACGAAAACTACAGGGTGCCGCAAGCTCCAGTTCCCACCCACAGCCTGGGCAATGCTGTTATGCGCGCAATTGAGCATGTTGTGTGCGTTCACGCGTCACAAGAAATCATTTTTAAGCACAATTTTGGCTTACTGTATAACGATGTGGGAGGGTATGTGGCTAGAGAATTGTAATATGCCGCGCCAGTGAGCGTGCGAAGTCGCGCTGGGATGACGACGATTTTAGGTGGTACTGGTCGAGAATAGACAATGTATGACCAAAAACAGACATAAGTGTCTACCATGTCCTTGTCTACATGAAATCCGATGCTCCATCGAAAGGGTAGTGCAAATTAAGGGAACGTCGCGCCATTGCCGCGCGCGACGAAGCGGCAGATTACGATTCTCTTGCCCGTCTCCCGATCTGGGATATGACCCATGAATCATTTCGGTAGCAGCGTCTTCCGCCTTCCATTTTTGAGAGATTTATATCTAATAAAATCTAATGAAACAGCGAGAGATCGACTACGTGGGCAGGGGTTCCTTCGTGACATCGTGAACACACTGAACTCTGTATCCGAACATAAGGAATCCCTTT